GTTGGTGAACCGCGACGACATCGAGGACATCCGGCGCGAGGTCCAAATCATGCACCACCTCACCGGCCACCGCAACATCGTCGAGCTCAAGGGCGCCTACGAGGACCGCCACTCCGTCAACCTCGTCATGGAGCTCTGCGCCGGCGGCGAGCTCTTCGACCGCATCATCGCCAAGGGTCACTACTCCGAACGCGCCGCCGCCAACTCCTGCCGTCAGATCGTCACCGTCGTCCACAATTGCCACTCCATGGGCGTCATGCACAGAGACTTGAAACCTGAAAACTTCCTGTTGCTCAGTAACAAGGACGATTCTCCTCTCAAGGCCACGGATTTTGGCCTCTCTGTCTTCTTCAAACCAGGTTAGTTAGTTAGTTAGTTAGTTACTCGCTGTGCATTGATTCTATTTGTGTTAGGTCGTGTTTGGACAATGGACATACAAAAACAAGAAGATAAAAAGAATTATGCTTTATTTTTTTCCTTTTCCAAATAATTAAAATTAGGGGAGAAACTAAAATCAGCATTCAGAGAATCTAAACGAAAGAACTTCGATAAAAGAAAATAGATGATCTACTGAGCCACTATACTATCACAAATTACCATATGTTGTTGAATTCTGTAGTAAATAAGTAAAAAGTCATAGATTGGTTGATACTCAATGCACGACCATTAAACTCTTTCTACAGTAAGTTAATTTAACTTGTTGGGAGAAACTTAATCCATTTTTACCTCGTTATTTTCTTCTTCTACTCTTAGTGCTTATTAGCAAGTTTATGGAAACAAGTGTTGGTGGTTGGTTGTTGCATTCGTTGACTTGGGGAGTGCTTATTGGGTTTTGAGAACAGGAGATGTGTTTAGAGATCTTGTTGGGAGTGCTTACTATGTTGCTCCGGAGGTGCTGAGAAGAAGTTATGGGCCTGAAGCTGATATTTGGAGCGCTGGGGTGATATTGTACATTCTGCTTTCTGGTGTTCCACCTTTCTGGGCAGGTAGAATTCCTTCCTTTTAACCAATGTTTAGAGCCTCAATTTTATTTTTAAATGTTGATAAGCTGGGAACCTCATTTCATGAGTCAAAACTATGCCGAATAGACATTATTGCATGATCGGGGACTACAGCTTGTTTATGCTGCAGCCAATTTTTCATGTGACATGTAGTTGAGTTTTATTAACTATATTTTATAAATTAAAAAACTCGGCTATGCTTCATGTGGAGATTGACTAAGAGTCTGTTTGGATATAAGCTTTAAATTTTCTTTTAAGAGTTTTTCTATTGGAAAATACTCTTTATTTTTAGTTGAGAAGCTCTCAAATGCGTTTCTAACTTGTATCTAAACAAATTCTAAGACTATTATACATTGTTGGGTATGCCTAAGCACTTAACAAAATTATTATTATTATTATTATTATTATTATTTAACATAGGCAGGATAGGTATGGCAAGGTTTACCTTATCTACCATCCAGATAATTTTTATTTTTGGAAAAAGAATGATAGGTTTTAGTTAAATTTAGGGATTCCCTCCCATGAGATATGGGTTTATTAATTTCTTTTTTGTTATAAATGTTTTCTTAACAATCTACAGTATTTTATTCTATTTATGTTGTTATGTTTTGAAACTTATGTGTTTAAAAAATTATGTTAACGTACCTGTACTTCCTAATTTTAAAGATTGTCATATCACTGTCATATGCATATTTACCTTACTCATCAGTGCAACCTAGTTGATGAGATATATGATGTACTTGCATGGAATTTATTATGTTAATAGTTGTAACTTGTGAACTTGTTTATTGGTGTTATGAATTAACTATCCATATTACAGAAAGCTTAGGTTATTGGGCGAGAATATGCAAATGACTTTACCCTTTTATAACATCTATAACAACTGATTAAACCTTCTGCTTTATTCTGAGCTTCAATGGGATTATGTTGGTCCTTTATTTTGGAAGTTTGCTTTTCTTTTACCATGATATACACAGTTTTGAACCTTTCCAATGTTTTTCACTTGGTTTTTTAATCTTTTATGTGAAGAAAATGAACAGGGTATCTTTGATGCCATTCTTCGTGGGCATATTGATTTTGCATCGGATCCTTGGCCTTCCATATCAAGTAGTGCCAAAGATCTGGTCAAGAAGATGCTGCGAGCTGATCCTAAAGAACGGCTTTCAGCAGTTGAAGTACTTAGTAAGTTAAATTCTACTCATGAACATAAATTGTTTTAGTTTTATACTGAATGTGGTTTATATTTTATTTTATTCATGCTGATGCTGAGGAAAAAAGTCTGGCATTGTTTACCCTCCTAGAGAGGTTCTGAACCTGTAGGATGGATAACGCTAAGATTCAGCGAGGCTGAGTTGTCATTTGATTGATCCATGATATTGTCAAACACATGGGGCTATTGCAATAGTATGATTCATTCAGTATAAGAAAAAGAATGAAAAATAATTGTAACAAATAAAACAATTCAACCCCCTCCCAAGAAAACGAAAAAATGGAAAACAAATGTAGGTTAGGACCCAACTATTCTTTCTACTAATTCCTGAACTTTAGATTTTCTTCTTGTCTCTTGTTACACCCCTTTGATATTATGATAACTTCGCACTTAAAAGAGTAGCATACAGGAGATTAATGTGTTTTTAATATTTTGCTTTCCAACTGATTGTAGGTTTTTCTCTAACACTAGCACATCATAAGAGCACTGAAACTATAATTCTTTTGGAAATTTACTTATTTGAAATAACCAGTCATAACTCATAACAATATTTTTTATATATGATGCAGATCATCCTTGGATGAGAGTAGATGGAGATGCATCTGATAAGCCTCTTGATATTGCTGTTTTATCCAGAATGAAACAATTCCGGGCAATGAACAAGCTAAAAAAAGTAGCCCTGAAGGTGAATTATCATTTATAAATTATAATTATTTATTTTGTTCTCATCATGAACATCACAATCAAACTTTGGGTAAAATATCTTTAAACTTCACTATATTGGAATCCTTCAAGATTCCAATAGGATATGTTAATTGAAAATCCATAATGTAAATGAATAAATATGGAGAAGGCAATCATAGCTGACTGGATCAAAGAATAGATGCTTTTGTTTCTGTTAAACTAATACTTTGGCTGCTTTTGAATCTGTTTCTCACTTGCCAATCTAACCATTCAAGTGCAATGGAAGCAGCAGATTATTTAATTTTGCAATAAAATAAATCTGTATTGAAGGATTTGGCTTCATACACAGCCTTTGTACCCACTTTCCAGAGCAAGTGACCAATGAAAAGTATTTTATTAATTTATTTTATTACAGGTTATTGCTGAAAACCTTTCTGAAGAAGAAATTATTGGCTTGAAGGAAATGTTCAAATCCATGGATACAGATAACAGTGGAACAATCACATTTGAAGAGTTGAAAGCTGGTCTCCCAAAATTGGGTAGTAAACTTTCTGAGTCTGAAGTAAGGCAGTTAATGGAAGCGGTATGGTTATTGTTCTCTTTGATTTGCCTTTGCGAAATGATTCTTCCAAAAGATTTGCACTCCATTTTATTTTTATAACTATTGAGAATGTTTAGAGTTTACATAATATTCATCCTGTCTCTCTAACTTTTGACCTGAAACACTGAGGTTTTAGACCCTACACAGAATCTGGTCACACACCATATTCTTCCTATAGCTAAGTATCTTTCGGAGCCCTTGTATACGCCATATATACAATTTAGCTCTCTGCAATCTTATCTCCTATCTTGTTGATAATCATAGCTAAATGCTAAACCAAGCCTTGTTATGCACTTATAAAGAATTTGATGCTTTATGCATCAATGAGCTGTGTGTAACAATTACTGAGAAAGTAGATGCCTAGATGGATAGTATCTTACATGATCTTGTGATTACTAGTCTGCTACTTCTCTTGATTTTGATAATGATTTTTGATAAACTATATGATCGTAATTATTTGGGTTTCAGGCTGATGTGGATGGAAATGGAACCATTGATTACATTGAATTTATAACTGCTACCATGCACATGAATAGAATGGAAAGAGAGGATCACCTATATAAAGCTTTTGAATATTTTGACAACGATAAGAGCGGGTAATTTCATTTAATTTATATTCATAATTTATAGTTTAGCAACATTACACTTTAAATGTTAATTTTATTGTTGGTTTTCTTCTTGCTGCTTCCGTATAGGTACATCACAGTGGAGGAGTTGGAATCTGCCCTTAAGAAGTATAATATGGGTGATGAGAAAACAATAAGGGAGATCATTGCCGAAGTTGATACAGACAATGTAGTTACTCTCTTTTTACCCTTTTTTTGGTTCCTTTATAATTATATCTGTCTATAGTTTTTTAACATAAACACATGTAACATAATCACACGCTGCTTTCTTCTTTCATAAAATTAAGTAGAGCATGTCTAGAATTTCACATGTCTATTTTTAACTAGTTAAGCTGTATTATCTAACAGGGCCACATCCTTGTTCTGATTGTTGGTATTAACTTGCAGGATGGAAGAATTAACTATGATGAGTTTGTAGCCATGATGAGGAAAGGCAACCCAGACGTAACTCACAAAACCCACCGACGTCTCAAATAGGCTCTGCAGGAATTGCCTGCTTTGTTGGCTTGAGTCTCTACACGTTTTAGTATTACGGCCTTCTATTTGATTGGGCACTTACATCATATTTGAAGGTCTAGTTAGACGAGTTTTTCTCTATTGCTTGAGCAGACATGAATGTGTATTGTGTACAAATCAAAGAAAAACAGATCAACCTTTTTTTCTCTCGTGAAGCAAAAAAATAAAAGGAAAAAGAAAAGATTTTATTCAGTTTCTGTACTTTGAAACACGTGATATGCTTTTTTTTTTTTTTTTGATGTTCTCCTGGATTT